TAGCCTGGCATCTAGCAGCCTAAGACCATGGTGTCCCTGCCATGACCCAGCCCACCCCATCCCCACTTGAGTTTCTGTCTGAGAAAGCCCAAGTCTACCAAGGGAATTTACTGTTTGTTCCAGCCAACACCTCAGATAGGCTCCTGGCCTCCACTGTCTTAGAGCATTTATTCTGAACACTTGTTGTTATAAATCCTTTCTCTATGCCTTTGAGATGTATGTGTATCTCCTGGAACCCAGGAGTGTCTTTCCTCAAGGACCTGGGAGCCATTCCTTTGAAATATAACCATCAGGAAGGATGGGGCCCCTGTGTCTCAATCTTTAAGCAGGTATCTTGGTTAAGGGCCAGTCACCAGGCTAAGGTGGCCTGATCATACTGACACTGACTACTCATCTTGTGGTTCACTCGCTCAGTCATCTCAGACTATTTGTGACCCCATGAACTGCAGCAAGCTAAGCTTCCTTGTCCTTCACTATCCCCCTGAGTCTGCTCAAACTCATGTCCCTTGAGTCGGTGATGCCATGCAATCATCTCATCCACTGCTGCCACCCTCTCCTCCTGCCCTCAGTCTTTCCCAGCATAAGGCTTTTCCAACGAGTTGGCTCTTTGCATCAGGTGGCCAAAGTATTGGAGCGTCAGCATCAGTCCTTCCAATGAACATTCAGGGTTGACCACTCATCTGTTTTTTTATAATTTTTCACTGTCTTAACTCTGCTTCAGTCCTCACTTACTCTCCTTCCCTATTCCCCGGTTCTCCCTTTAAAGAGGCCAGGTCCCCTCTGTATAGATCAGAACCAAGCTCATTTCTAGGCTAAAGAAGTCTCTTTCCCCTGCTGCAGGAGTGCTGAATAAATCTGTCTTTACCACCACTTCCTATTACCCAGATTTTTCTTTAGCACTTTCTAGAAATGTTCCTGGGGGGTTGGAATCTTGGGGCTCCCCCATAACCTCAGAACCAACAGGACTCCAGGATTTGGAATTTAATAGCAGCCCACAGAAGTGAGCATAGGGGGCAGCTATTCAGCAGGCAGCCAACGAGGCCTGGACCTAGATGCACAAAAGGATCTTCCTTCGCTTAGGCAGGGAAGCGCTTGAGAGGCTTCCTATAGAAACAGCAGCATAAATCAACCACAGCTAAATACAGGAAGAAATTTTGATCTTTGAGTTCCGGAAATAGCCTGGGGGCTAAGGTGTGGACACCATCAGTGAGTGTTCTGAAGGAAACTAAAGTCTCAAGAGAGGGACTTCCCTGGTGGTCCAGTGGTCCAGTGGCTAAGACTCCACGCTGCCAGTTCACAGGGTCCAGGGTTCCAGCCCTGGTCAGGGAACAAGATCCCACATGCCACAGCTAAGAGTTCACATGCTGCAACTAAAGATACCACAGGCCACCACGAAGATCAAAGATCCCATGTGCCACAACTAAGGCCCAGCACAGTAAAAAAAAAAAAAAAAAAAGTCCCAAGAGAGGCTTCAGCATCCTCAACTGCATAGCACTTAACCATGGATGGTGTGGGGAAGGAGCTATAGACAGAACTGACTGTGTACTATGGCTGATTCATGTTGATGTATGCCAGAAACCATCACTATATTGTAAGATAATTATCCTCCAATTAAAAACAAAATAAATTTTAAAAAAGAATTGCCTATGTAGATCTCAGTTTTCTGGGATTTGTCATAAGAACTGACAAGCAGAAATGGCCCAGACTTGAGGAACAATCACATCCAAAAAGCACCCAGACCCTGTGTCAAGAGGCATGTTTGGGGTTGACATATTCTGGTACACTTCAGGATGAAGGCAGGATGTCTAGAGCAAGAGTGTTCAGGGGGAGGGAGCAGGAATTCAAAGACTTGAGACATCTGGACATGCAGGAGAAACAGCAAGGTGGTGAGTGAGTCAGTGGGGCCAGTGGGGCTGCAGGGGAGTGAGGAGAGGGTGGCAGGGGTTAGCAACCCCTTCACATCGCTCTGCTTCTTCTCCACACACATGCTTTTGGCCTTTGTCCTGAATCAACCTGAACCAGGGTACCTCATTTTGTTTTAGAAGCTCTCAAGTAATCTGCCATCTGGATACAATGCGATTTACTTAATATGTTATAGGATTTTTCCTTCCCTTTTTTTAAGATACCATGAGGAATGAGGCGGAAATCAGGAAGCAGTTGGAGTGGCTGATAAAAGGAGGAAAAATAGAGCAAGCATGCTCTTAACAGTTGCAAAGCCCAGGGCAAAAGTAGATGGAAGCCCACATACCGTATGGCTAAATATTAAAAGTGATAAATTAACATACTGTTAAATAACATAAATACTGTCTTCCTGGGACTTCCCTGGTGGTCCAGTGGCTACCAATCTGCCTTCTGATACAGGGGATGCAGGTTGGATCCATGGTGGGAAACTAAGATCCTACACACTGCAGGGCAACTAAGCTTACATGTTCTCGGTCCTGCACCACAACTAGAGAAGTCCACGCTCCACAATGACGAGACTACGTGCAACTAAGACACATCACAAGCAAAAAGAAATAGAAAATCAGGGCTTCTCCGGTGGCTCACACAGTAAAGAATCTGCCTGCGATGCAGGAGACCCAGGTTCGACCCCTGGGTTGGGAAAGAAAAAAAAAAAGAAATACTGTCTTCTTACCTTGACAAGTAGCCTTCATACCAGTCTGGAAGGCCAGATTTAAATTGAGAATTTTCAGCTCTTTGAGGTTCTGCACCCAGCCCACAGCCTGCCACCTCCTCTTCCAACTCCTAGCTCCTATCCTGCACTGAGAAGGCCCTTGAATGCACAGGTCTGGACATCTCAGCCTGCCTGCTGAGGTTCCACCTATGCTTCCCTTGGCCTAGGGCTACTCAAGAGGATGGACCCAGGACTGGGACCCAATTGTGCCGTATAAGCAGGCAGGCGTCATTTAGGCAAGAAATGCCGAGGTGCCAGGTACTCAAGACTGTGGGCTACCTGGAGGGAGGAATGGGAGGTGCTGGGTAGGCAGGACTCCTTGATTCCACAGACTTCCTGTCCCTTGGGGAGGGATATAGCTGTAGGTGGGAGGAGGAGGTGGGGGAGAGTCAGAGCAGCGTCCTGTGAAGCCTGAGGCCCGGGGCAGAGACCCCACTTGCCCACGTCTCAGGCTGGTGCTGCTTAAAAGTGGACATTGCCTGTCTACCTTGGGGAAGGAACTGACGGCATGGAGAAAGCAGGCAGGAAAGAGCAGAGAGTTGGAACCAGCAGCCCAGCCAGCTGGGGGGACCCACGCTGAAAAGTCAGAAGGAAAAAACTGCTAGCTCTACCCAAGCATTCCTATGTCAGCACTGGCCAAAGGGGAGAACATGATCCTTACAGAGACAGAAACCTTAGCTCCTATCTGCTCATAACAATAACAGCCATAGAAACCACAAAGAGAGAGTACAAACAAGGAAGCTGAAACAAATAATGAAAACGCTATCATCTCTTCTGTTGGTCAGTGAACATCATTGTGAAGTCAGCTGTTTTCTTGTAAGATGCTGGATATAAAACTGGGAATGTGGATTTCAGGCCCAACTTGGGGGCTAATTAGCATTGAGAGGTGAGCAAGTCACTTTGCATCTGTTTGTCTCTTCATCTACTAAACAGGAGCATGCTTGCCCCGTCTCTATCTGCAAGGGATTTTTATAATTATTCCCCAAACTGTATTCCTTTGCTGGAGGTGAATTTTCTGTCTCGAAGCTGACTGGCTGGCTCACCATGACCTTGATGCAACCTTCAGGAAAATCAGGAAGAGAAGTAGTCCAACTGCCTCCTGCCAGATAAGCATCCAGGCAAAGAGGACCAGGGCTTCCTGGCCATCCCTAGTGGCTCAGATGGTAAAGAATCTGCCCTCAATGCGGGAGCCCTGGGTTTGATCCCTGGGTTGGGAAGACCCCTGGAGAAGGGCATGGTAACCCACTCCAGTATTCTTGCCTGGAGAATCCCCATGACAGAGGAGCCTGGTGGGCTACAGTCCACGGGGTCACAGAGAGTTGGACATGACTGAGCGACTAAGCACAGCACAGCACAAAGACGACCAGCTGAGAGGGAAGCCGGATCAGCCTTTCTCAGAAAAGGAGGGCAGCTGGTCTTTGTAAGCACCTGTCTGCCAGCACCAGGGTCAGCAGGTGGGGTGTCTGGAAAGCAAACACCAGACATCTCCACTAGCAGGCGGTCATCTGCACAAAAGACCTCTGTCGTTTACATTTCACTTAGCTCCTGGGGACAAAAGCAGACAGTCAAGGGGCAGGTTCCAAGCACTCACTGTGTGCACAGCTGTATGGGATACATTAGGGAGCCCGACAGCAGATGAGAGACAGAATAAAGATTCTAGAAGAGCCTGAGGAATGAGAGGTGTTATTGCAGCCATTTTGGGGAAACACAAACTGTGGTGGATAAATCTGGAAAGGAAAGGTGACAGATTGCATCTTGTAAGCCACACTAAAGCTCAATCTTGATCTGATTTGCAACAGGGCCCCCTTGGAGAGTTTTAAGCCAGAAAGTGAAATTGTCCATGGTCTTTAAAAGTTATTTCTAGCCCCTGCGTGGATAAAGAATGTGTGGGAAGGTTTTGGAAGCAGAGACTATTTAGGAAAGAGGTCCAGAAGTTCAAGTCCCAGGCACGGTGGTCAGTCCTAGCCTAGCTGAGGATACAGGGAGAGAGTGGGGCCAAGGAAGACAGCCATGGCTCTGGCCTGCCCAATTGTTCCTGTTCCCCGAGATCGAGACTGATAAAGAAACGAGTTTCTTTGGACACGAGGGGGTTGAAAGGCCAAGGCAGACGTACGAAATTGAACTGGGGAGATAAAAATGTAGCAGAGAAAACATAGCATTTAAAAAGGCACAGGAATGGAAGATGTGTGTCCACCCAAGTGTTTAGAATCTTCCCTTTAGCGCCGACCGAGTCAAGCACAAAGGCTGAGCTAAGCACGCGCGCATCTGCAATCCGCCCGCGGCTCCTGGGCCGCAGCCTCCGGGTTGCGCACGCGCTGCAGTTGCCATGGAGACGCGTGGCCCTTCCCGGGCGCAAGGCGCCGCCGGAAGCCGCTGGCTCAGCGGCCGCGGGTCTCCAGCCGCCGGAGGTGCGGAGGAGCGGTCCCGCGGGCGGATGGACCGCGGCGGTGGGGCCCGGCCGTTGGAGGACGGCGAGGACGAGGACGAGGAGGAGCGACAGGGCTGCATGGCGGCCTCGCAAGTCTCCAGATTGCCCCCCATCGAGGGTTGCACCTCAGAACTGAACAAACAGAAGGTGAAGAAGAAAAAAAAGAAGAAAAAGACCAAGAGGTCGGGCAAAGGGGACGGTAAGAGGAGCAGCTAGCGCGGCAGCCTCAGCTCCCACACCTGAACAACTTCTCCGAGGACACCCACCTCACCCCTGAGAACCCCATCTACTCGAGGACCAGTTCAGCCCAGAAACAGAAACTCGTTGGTACTAATCAGAGGTCCCCTGGCTCCCCGCACGATGAGGCTCCAGCCCTTCCCATAGAAGCCATCCATGTCCACAGAGACCCCAAATCCTGCGTCGAGTTCTCAACACCTATGGAGACCTTCAACCCCACACAGAAACACCCCACAGAGCCTCCCAGCCCCACGGTGACTCCTGGCTTTATACACACACTCATCATTCTAATCCCTCAGTCCAAACTCAAAATCCTGATCATCCTTACCTTCCCCGCAAAAACCTCAAGCCCTCCTACAGCGATGCCTTTATCCTCATACACAGACTTTCCCCACCCACAGGTAGTGAGGCACTAGTGACCTCTTCTCTCAGGCACACACACAAGCACAGGCTCTTGCCTTCCAGCCGAGGATCCTCCTTACACCCTCATTCCTTGGGGGCCCCTGCCTCTGGGTGCCGTGTAGACACCCCGATGCTGTGTGTGCCTAGTCGCATCTGACTCTTTGCAACCTGACGGACTGTAGCCCTCCAGGCTCCTCTCTCCGTGGGGATTCTCCAGGCAAGAATACTGGAGCCGGTTGCCACACCCTCCTCCAGAGACACCCAGGAAGCACATATAATACAGGGTATACACCCTGTACTGACCGCGCTTCCACTTCCCTCACCTTCCAAGGCCAACCTTTGACTGCACACAAACACCATCACACCAGGCATTGCTACGCACTTTATCATCCTCAGCACCCTCAACACCCCCTTCTATCAGTATTATCACCAAATAAAGGTAAAGCATAGATAGCCAGCAGGCACACACATTCACAGGCTGCACACTCACCTGCCTAGACCCCTCCCCACCCCCATTCACATACAACTATACACATGGGATTCTCACTCCTGGTTTCCCTGTGGATATATCACAGAAACACACCCAGCAACAGCTGCCACAAACCCGCAGAGCCCACAGGCTTACCATGCTCCTCTCAGAGAATTCCCTAGGGACTCCACAAAGGCCCTGAGCACGCATTCGTGGAAAGAGTGCAACAGTGATGTAGAATGCGCCTGTCTGTGGGTGCTGTAAGTCTCTCTTGTCAGTTGTGTGGTCCACTGTGGGGGCTCTTGCTATCAGGGAGGTGGATCAGCGCCCGTTACCTCTAGCACAGTTAGTTCTGGGTTCAAGTCTCTGGGCCCTAGCCTTTATACAAAGCTGGCTCCCCTGGCAAGCTGGAGGCCAAGATGTAGCAGCCTTCCCTTGTAGTTTGGAGAAGTGGGGGATGGGCAGATTACAATTACTTCTCCAGGTGGAATCATCATAAAAAGGCAAGAAAACAGTTCTGGCGTTTAAGTCAATAAGCTCCAGGTGTACCTGCCAAACAGATTAGGAAATTTATTATCTTTTCCAGCTTAGCTTCTGACTCTAAAAATTACAGTGGCATGTACTTCATACTGTCAGCAGGGGACACCAAATAGTTTTGGGGAAGTGGAAGGTATAGGAATTTCAAGAGAGGATTCCCCCCCCCCATCTCTCCTTTTCTCTCTTTCTTCTTTTGGTGGGGGGAGGGAGATTCCTCTCTCTCTGCCCCCAAAATAGGATGAGCTGAAGAAAGAATCACAACATGTAGTATTTTATATGCACGTTATATAATTCAGAAGTGCTATTAATATTTCAAAAGAATCAGTATACGCCACACAGCAGAAGTATTTCCTGGCTTGGCAGAATGCTTTCCATAGTCAGATTTAGGAAGTTTTTCTGTTGTTCTCCATTTCTTCCATCATAAATTGTCTAGACTAGGGATAAGTCACAGCCTCCCAGAACTGGGCAGTGCCTTGGCGAGCAATGGAGAGGTGAGGTGGGGATGTGTGGAAAGAACCCGGCGCTCGAGTCAGGCCTGCATTCAGATCCAAGCTCTGCCACCTGCTATGTGACATTGGAAAGTAACGGAGGCTTTTGGAGTCTGTTTCCTCACCTTGAAAACAGGGCAGATAGCCTCTCCCCAAGGGGACCTGGCTCATAGTATGTGCTCAGTAAATGGTTCCTCCCTCCCCAACATGACAACCCAAAGCCTATAGGCAGTGAGTGTGTACAGGGCTGGTGGGCTTGCCCACCTGAGCCCTAGGTAAGGAGGGGCCTTCAGTACCCTCCCCACTTCATCTTTGGTGGTTTGGGCATCACCCCCGAGCGGGCTCAGGGCAAGTATCACAGAGGCTAACACCGCCCATCTGCTCAGCAGATAAACACCAGAGTCAAGGCATGAAGACTCAGCAGCTGTCTCCAACCTTCCATGACATACTAGGTCCCAGCAAAGATCACGGCCCGGGGCCAGAGCACAGGCAGAACAGGGATGAAAGCAAGCTCTTCTCCTACTCCACCACTGTAAGCCTCCCCCACTTTGTCGAAATAGAAGAGACCCTTTCCAACCAGGTCAATGAAAGTCTGCGCTGGGATGGCATTCTTGCCGACCCAGAGGCTGAGAAGGAAAGGATTCGCGTTTACAAGCTGAACCGGAGGAAGAGGTACCGAATTTGGGCCCTGAAGGGCTTGCACTCTGACCCCGGTGCCGCGGAGACCCCCGAGGACCCAGCCTACCTCTCGGATCAGCACAGTGGCAGCAGCAGGCAGCTGACGGCCAAGGGCCCCAACCACTGCTCCGAAGGAAGCCTCGTGTCGACGGACATACCACCCTGAATGTGCCCAATCTCATCTGATCTCGGAAGCTAAGTGGGGTCGGGCCTGGCTAATACTTGGATGGGAGAAGGAAACCTTATCCCGAAGCTCCTCCACTCCGACTTCCCTGCTGCTCTGCTGGAGCCAAAGCCCACCCATGACCCGGACAAGCTTATGATTTATCCTTCCCACCAGTCTATGTGTTACAACTGTGTCTATACGTAAATAAAGGGAAATCAGACTTAGCTCTGAAGGAAGCAGGTGTCTGGTGGGTTGATGAGCTCAGTTCGCCTTCCACCAAGATGTCTTTCAAAGGCCCAGGAAAGCCACAGCTCCTTAAGAGTGTAAGCAGGTCGATGAACAAAATTCTCTTCCGAATGTCCTTTTTTCCTCAAATAAGCTGGCATTGCTTTGTTATTTAATTTCCCATCACAATTAGCTATCTATAGTCTCCCCCACCCACAAAAAAAGAGAAAGTGGATAGATGGTATCAATTCTAAATCTATTTTAAAAAAATATTTACTTGGCTGCCATCGGGTCTTAGTTATGGCACTCAGATCTTTCATTGTGGTGCTCAGGCTCCTCTCTAGTTGTGACTCCTGGGTTGAGTTTCCCACCTGGAGCCTGTGCAATCTTAGTTCCCCAACCAGGAATCAAACCCAGGTCCCTTGCACTGGAAGGCGGATTCTTACCCACTGGACCACCAGCAAAGTCCCTCAATTCTAGTGTTAATCGCTCAGTCGTGTCCGACTCTTTGTGACGTTATGAACTGTAGTCCGCCAGGCTCCTCTGTCCATAGGATCCTCCAGGTAAGAATACGGGAATGGGTTGCCATTTCCTCCTCCAGGGGATCTTCCCAACCCAGGGAACAAACCTGGGTCTCCTGCATCGCAGGCAGATCCTTTACAGTCTGAGCCACCAGGAAGTTCCTCAATTCCAAATCTTAAACTAATTTCATGGGTAAACTTCCTCACACAGCATGTTTTCAGAAGCCCAAGGAAAATGCCCTGAATGGCCTGGAGACTTTTCTTTCTTAAATATACTCACTGCCCTTTTGTGGCCTTCAGAATAAGGGAGTTCCAGAGAATCCCCTAAGGGAGGTTATTATGCGAGGTCTCAAAAGGAATATTGTTTCTCTTATCAACATGGTCCTCCTCTAATCCCCCAGGACAGTATTTCAAGCAAACTTACGGAGCATTCAAAGGCCCTCTAAGTTAATGTTCTTGTCTACAAATACTGGGTGAGGGCCATGTGCTGCCTTCGTCTGGCTTCTACCGCAAGTAGACGATCTGGGAGGCGAAGGGGGGACCAGTGGAGAGGATGCAGAGGAGGGGAAGTGGCCAATCCAGGGAATCCAGTAAACCAGCTTCCACACCAGGCAACCGGGCCTCGACCCCACAGGGAAACTCCGTCAGGATGACCCGGCCCGAGGGTGAGGGAGCTGGGGTGTCACGCTCCCCAGAGGCCTTGGCGGAGGGGCCCTGTGGGGGGGGGTGTGTGTTGGTTTCTGGGAATTTCCAGCCTGCCACATGAGGGCTAGAGGCCAGTCTCACCTGTGGGGGAACCGCGCTCTGGCACAAAGATGCAGCTGGAAGGTTCTGAGAGATCGAGGTGGTCTCTGGGGTAGCACTGGACACCTCTGTCAGCACAGTGCAGGCCCCAAGAGGGGCACAGTGGACGTGAGGCTCCAGCCTTCCAAGGAGGTGAAGGCGTGCAGGGTCCTCGGGAGAAGTCGAAATCCAACACGAAACATCACGGGCGGCTTATGTAAAACTTAAGTGAAAAAAAAAAAAACTTAAGAGAAAGTGGTATGAGCCAAGCACATAGGCACATTCTAGCCACCTGACCAGCCCTAAAGGTTGGAAACCCACCGCCTCAGTACTGACCAAGCCAGGTGCAAATCATAAACCCAGTTATTTCTGAGCTATGCTGATCAGCTGATACATTCTGCCGCAGAATAGCTCACGGACCCACGGGTACGCAGCCTTGTTCATCTTAGTAAATAGATTCATCGTGTAGTTCTGGAGATGAGTATGCAGGCCCCCGGCAGACAGAGCAGCCCCTTAAGAGGTCCACTGTCAGGGTTTTCATGTCTTGGCCACCAGACCCTAAAAGATATACTGAAGAGGCTTTCAGAAGAGCCCTTCCTACCCTGGAGATGAGGTTAGCCGCCTGGCTTGGCACAGGCCATCCCTATGCCAAGGCCAGGCCGGACCCGAGCTTTCGGGTTGTGGGGCACCCATGGAATCAAGCAAAGGGGACCCCGGGCTCGGGCGCGGCTCCATGGTTAGGAGGAGATGTAAGTGTGCTAAGGCCCAGCCTTAGACCTCGCCCGGTGCCTCAGGTTCAAGGTAAAGACAGCAGAGGGTGGGGCAACTGAGTTGGCATTTCCTGTGCCTTCTGGCTCCACCAAGGTGGGGGGAAGTGCATGGAGGAAGCCGAGGGCACATCCGCCTCAGGATGTCTTGGTCGCTTTGCACTGTCTTCCATGCAGGGTGGGGGTTGGGGTGGCCTGTGGTTGCCTTTCTGCCTGAGGTGTTCTGAGATAGTGGGGAAAATGATAGGCTTTGACCTCAGAGCTGCATTTTTCTCTGTCTCACCTCGAACTACCTATCTGACCTCAGACAAATTGCTCAACCTCTCTGAGCCTTAGTTACCGCATCCGGAAACAGGGATGAAAAATTCCTACTTCTGTGTTGTAAGAATCAAATGCAGTAATTACATAAAGCATTCAGCATAGTGCCTGGCCCCTAGGAAGCACTCATTCTATATTAAAGAGTTCTGAGCAATGTATTTTAGGAAGGGGTAGCCACACAGCCACTGAAAAGACTATTCTGGGGATGGTGTAGAACTCACCTCATCAAAGAGTGACCTTCACAACAACAACAACAAAAAAGACTTCAGTGACTGGCTGATAGAATTAAAACAAACCGCAAAACAAATTACAGGGAATGTAAGAGGAAAGAATTGAGAGTCTCACAGTCCAGCATTCAGGGGAGGGGGCTTTAGGCCGAACAAGAATGTGCCTCCTTATAGCCTGGAACTAAATGGGAGTCTGTGCTCAAGATACGAACTGAAGAAGCTGGTGAGAATTAATGCTTCTACAAGCATGGAAATGACTCCAACTCAAACCACAATGGGTTAGAAGTTTTAAGTGTCTTTCTGATACCCAGCCTCTTTCAGTGAGGACTTTTCCAGTAGCAAGGAATAAAACTTGAAAACCAATGAAAACTGGTTTGCAGACAAAAGGAAGTGATTGACTTATAAGGCCAACAGTCCAGAGTTGGTTATGGATGGCTTCAGGCACGGCTGGATCTAGGAGGTCATGCTGTGTCATCAAAATTTGTCTCTCTCTCCACATCTTGCCTCTGCCTCCCTGATTAGCTTCATGTTCAGAAGCAGGTTCACATAACAGGGTTTCAAAGATGGCCACTGACATCCTTACAGTTCATCAAAGAAGAACTCCTGTGTTCATATCACTCCCAGAGAAGACCTCTGGCCTGGCACAGGTCATACCATATGTCCATCATGGACAAATCACAGTGGCCACGGAAAGGGAGTGAACTTCCCTATAGCTCAGATGGTAAAGAATCTGCCTGCAATGCAGGAGACCCGGGTTCAATCCCTGGTCAGGAAGATCCCCTGTAGAAATGGCAATCCACTCCAGTATTCTTGCCTGGAGAATCCCACAGACAGAGGAGCCTGGTAGGCTACACAGTCCATGGGGTCGCAAAGACATGACTAAGTGACTGACACATAAAGAAAGGGAATGTTTGCTGCAGAGACCTAGGGTGTGGTGGGGACATGGCAGGAGGAGACACCCCTAATGAACACGTGCACTAAACAGACTGCCATAGAAGCTATGTAAAACCTACATAGAATAGGGTGACTCCCTAAAGAGATGCCAAGTAGATTTTTTCATTACGCTCTAAATTAAGAATGATTCATTTTTTAAAGACCTTGACCAAGGGTCATGGGGGTGGATTACACAGCAATAATCTCAACGACCTGGATTGACTGCATACTTATCTCCAGAACCACTGACCCTTGCCCAACACTATGGAATCTATTAACTCAAGAATGAACAAGGCTGTGTAATGGTGGGTCTGTGAACTGTTTTGGAGCAGAATGTATGAGCTGGTCAACACAGCGTAGTAATAACCTGGTTTATGATTTGCACCTGGTTTGGGTGGTACGAAGGGGTGGGTTCTAACCTTTAAGGTTGGTCATGTGGCTAGCGTGTGCTACGTGCTCAGCTCACTCTAAGACACTCCCACCATGAGTAGCCTCTGGATTTCTACACCAGGAGTGGTTGGAGCCTTGTGAATATCCACCATGGAGACTGCAGGAAGGCCATTCAAGGAAGGTAACAACTTCGGTGTGGATTGGTGCAACGGATGCCTCTGTGATCTCTGCCTCCAGGTGCTCATGCAGCCAGCACCCCCCCCCCCACATACATCCCCTCTCCCGCATCGAGGACCTGTTGACTCTAATGACTAAAATAGAGCAAAAGTGGTGGAGTCTCTCTTCCAAGATGAGGTTCCAGAAAGAGAATGTGTTGGGGGAAGGAAAGAAGGAAGGACGAAGGGCTATAGAAACTGCCATGGTACATACATGTCATTACACATTTGTCCAAACCCATATACAGTCTAACATCAAGGGTGATTCCTCAACTGTGGACTTAGGTTAATAATGTATCAATGTGGGTTCGTCTATTGTAACACATGTACCAAGCCATGAACGATGTTAACAACTGGGGAGACTCCAGTGACAAGGAATCCATGTCTCCTGCCAACAGCCGCGAGAAAACTCTGAAGCAGGTTCTACCCCATTAAGCCTTGTGGTAACCATGCCCCAGTGACACCTTGATTACAGCCTGTGAGACCAGAAACCAGATGCATCCAACTGAACGACACCCAGCTTCCCGACCCACAGAAACTGGGAGGTGATGAAGCTGTTTGAAGACACAAAATCCGGGGATAATTTTGTTACTAATACAGTTGGCCTCACCCTCATCATTAGCTGTCCTCCTCAGCTAGCTGCTGCTCTTGCCCCTTGACCTGAGGGTGGAAAACCCAAAACCCCACCTTCTCCTAAGGAGCCGTGTGTTATCCAGCTCCACAGACTCCCACTGCTGGTACTCAAGGGATGCTTAAGTTGATAACTTATCCCAAAGTGATGCTGTGTCCTGCAGGGTTGAGGGGACTGCTGGGTGAGTGGGAAGTGCTAGGGAAGATTAAGTGTTTTCTACCTATTA